CCTACTTCAGCCTCCTGAGTAGCTGGGATCACAAACTGGAGCCACTGTGCCTGGCTCCAAAGCTTATTTAACGTTTCAGTGCTTCATCTCTTACACGGAGATGACACTACTGTTAACTTCATACAATTGCTATGTGAATAAGTGAGCATGTGTTAAAGAGCTTAGAATATATTAACTATGATGGTGAACTTCAGGCGTCTATCCGAGTAGATGAAGGGACATCTAGACGGCTGGTAAAAGACTATTTCTGGGTGTGTCTGGGAGGATGTTTCGAGAATTGATGGGCACTTGAAGCAGTGGACCAAGCAAGGAAGATCCACCTCCATCCAGTTTGAGTAGGTTCTATCCAATCGGCTGAGGGCAGGTAGAATAAAAAGGCAGAGGAAAGGTGAATTCACTCTCTTTTCTGAAGCTGGGACACCATTTACTCCTGCCCCTGGACATCAGAACTCCATGTTCTCCAGCCTTTGGTCCAGAGAGAACTTTTACCAGCAGCCCCCTGGTTCTCAGGAACTGAATCATATCACTGGCTTCCCTGGTTCTCCGATTTGCAGACAGCCTATTGTGGACCTCTCAGACTCCATAAACATGTAAGACAATTCCCTTAATAAATCCCTTCTCAGATATCCATATATCCTATTGATTCTGTCTCTTTGGAGAACCCTAATACCTTAGTAATTGTGCTTTTCAGGTTGAAAAATGCACTTCAATTTTTCAAGTTATACCTTAATGCTTCACTCAGAATAGTTGTTTCTTCTATGGCTAACCCTTAATATTTTAATCAGAATGATAGCATCATCCTCATTAACAACAACTCGTTCTTCAACAGGGACTACAGTGCACTCCAGCATGGTTCTCACAAGTACTTTACTGTTATCAACTCCTTTAATTTTTCCTCCCATTTTACAGAGGCATAAACTGAGTCACAGAGAGGTTAAGTCATTTATGTGAGGTTATAACTGCTAACAAATAGCAGAAACAGGATTTGAAACCAACTACTCTAGCTCTAGTGATTGCAGTCTTAATAATTTAATCAGGCTGGGCATGGTGGCTCACACCTGTAATCCTAGCACTTTGGGAAGCTGAGGCTGGCAGATCACCTGAGGTTGGGAGTTCAAGACCAGCCTGTCCAACACGGTGAAACCCCAACTCTACTAAAAATATAAAATCAGCCAGGTGTGGTGGCACATGCCTGTAATCCCAGCTACTTGGGAGGCTGAGGTAGGAGAAATCACTTGAATTCGGGAGGCAGAGGCTGCAGTGAGCCGAGATCCTGCCACTGCACTCCAGCCTGGGCAACAAGAGTAAAATTCGGTGTCAAAAAAAAATTATACTGCTTCAAAAGAGCATATGAACTAGATATTCTGAACATTATAAACACATAAGTTTATATCCAAAAGATTAAAATAATTATTTTAGGGATTCTTGAGCTTCGATGTCAGCAAGCTACCAGGATGTCATGGGGCTTTCAGAATGAGTCCCACTTATCCCAATTTCTAGTTTTTTGATCTTCCACTGAGCAGATAACGTCTCATTCATAAATCTGGGGTAAATAATCCTTGTCCTTCTTTTTACATATGGTTACTTTGGGGATAATATTGAGTAAGATACAAACCAACTAAATACCATTTTAGAAAAAACTTAAATATTAAAAAAATTAAGCCAATGAGATTATAGATGAAACTGTTTTACAAATTGGAAAGCTCTGTGCAAGTAGTTCCATTAAAGTTCTTTTCAAAAGGCTTATAAAAGGCTCTCACCTAGACTTCTGAAATAGATACCAGACACTTCCCTGCCTCTAGTCTCTCACAATTGGAATCTGTTTCACAAACCATCATCTGATCTACAAAAAAGTTATTTCACCCCTTAGAGAAATGGAATACCTACTGAAATTATTAGAAACTCCTTGGCTATGCATCTGGAGCTACTGAGACATAGACCAAAGCCAGCCCCAATGGAATGTACTGAAAATAGCACGGGAATACGCACAGACCATGGCTTAGCTCTGAAAGCAACTTTTTTTTTTTCAACACAGGGTTTCACTCTGTTACCCAGGCTGGAGTCCAGTGATACAATCACAGCTTACTGCCACCTCAACCTCCCAGGCCCGAGTAAGCCTCCCACCTCAGCCTCTTGAGTAACTGAGATTACAGGTGCTTTGCCACCACACCCAGCTAATTTCTTCTTTTTTTTTTTTTTTTTTTTTTAAATAAAAATTGAGTCTCACAATGTTGCCTCGGCTGGTCTTGAACTAGGCTTGTCTTTTTTTTTTTTTTTTTTTTTTTTTTTTTTTTTTTTTGCTGGAGTGCAGTGGTGCAATCTCGGCTGACTGCAACCTCTGCCTCCTGGGTTCAAGCGATTCTCCTGCCTCAGCCTCCCCTGAGAAGCTAGGACTACAGACATACACCACCACACCCAGCTAATTTTTGTATTTTTAGTAGACACGGGGTTTCACCATGCTGGCCAGGATGGTCTCCATCTCTTGACCTTGTGATCCACCTGCCTCAGCCCCCTAAAGTGCTGGGATTACAGGCGTGAGCCACTGCGCCAGGCCCACAAGCTTGTCTTGAATTAATACTTCATCACAAGACGAGATTTGTGTATACGTTAGGTTAAACCATATGAAATTTTGACCTACAAAAACAGCAATTTCATATGATTCAATCCAACATTTTACTAATTGATGTGCTGTCCATCTTCCTTCCCTCTCCAGCTGTGGAATGAGTTCAAGAGGGAAGGCATTTTCCTACATTTTGTACATTGCGTACATTTCGTTGTATCTTCAGTACCTGGAACATAGTGGTATTCAGCAAATATTTACTGAATGAATGAATGAATGAACTTACTAAGCTCTAAGCATTTGCCTTACACTCTTCTGTGTGATTTATATTTTGCAGCACCTTTGTTTCCTAATAGCATCCTAATTACTGTCATTCCTCAGCTGAGGAAACTGAGGCTTGGTGAGGTCAAGTGACTTCTCCAAGACACTCTTAAATAATATTTTATGGTAAGCCATTTATATTTATGCTATAAAAGTTGTCCAAATTCAGGCTATCTTTCCTTTCTGAACTTGACCATGCATAGATTCTACCGAAAACAGTGATTAAGAAACTTCAGGACCAAAAGAAGAGAAGGTGGGGAAGGGATGGAACACAGTGGAAAAAGACAGACACTTGCCAATGGGCTTGGGAAAGCCTGCAATTGTTGGTGAAGTGTGGTATGAAACATTATCTAAAAATGACTCTCAGGCCTCCAGGCCCTCTGCCTCTTCACTGGCTTGACACTTGGAGCCCTGACACTGGCATTGCTTACTTGGGAACTGGGAGTGGATGATGGATGGCTTTTACCTTCGATCTGCATATGAGCCTGGCTGGGACTACCAGACTCTTTCAGCAAGCAAGAGAGTATTCTCCCTCTTTTTACCATTTCCTCTGTGGATGAAATTGGGGACCCCTACCTACAAAATTCTGTTGCTTTAAAAGACTTTCCCCTAATATGACTGTGGAGATACAGTGCCAACAAGAACAAGTTAACATATTTTTGGTAAAGGGGCTTTCGGTTTGAAATTAGTTGATGTTACTCATTTCCGTTTAGGGCAAATATGCACTCTATCTTTTGGAAAGAGAGGTCATAATTTTTTTTATTGCTATTCCCTTCTTTTTTTCTTTTTTGTAAAGTCAATCTCTGGTAAATAAACAGCTACTATTCTTAATACCAGGGGTCTCAAGTCCCATGTAGGGTTTATCCATGAGTAGCCCATTACAATTTCCACTCTGCTGAAACATCCTTTCCCTTCAGCCAGAATCAGCTCACTTTCTAGAATACACAATCTGTGGCAGTCATAATATATGTTTTCTCAAACCTGAAAGAGGTTAAATGGATGATTTCTCAAATGCCCTGAAGTAAAATGAACAACTCTGGGCTGTCTTGAAATCAGAGTTAGATGACACTCCTAAGTGATTCATTCTTTGAGATTTATGGACATTTTTAAACACAGAAGGAAAAAAGCCTACATTTCTTCCTAGAATTTGTAGTCTAACCCTGGAAGTGCTAGGCTACAAACAGAAAAGCAGATGATGAGCCAAGCCACGGGAGTCAGAGGGTTGGGGAGCCATCTCCTGGCCTATCACACACTGGCTAGAAGCCTTTGGCAAGTTAGTAAACTTCTCTAACTCTCAAGTTTCCTCATGTGTAGGAAAATCAAAGAACAGGAAATGCACGCAGAATATAGCAGTGTCTGATATACAACAAATGTTCAATAACTATTAAATAACAGAATATCAAACATTAGGGTATATCAGGAGAAAGAGTTCTTTAAAACTGCCTCTCTTCTAATGCCCTAGCCCCTGGATAAGTTTAAATATCTTTTGCTTGGAATCAATGGAATAAATTTAAGACATTTTCTTGTGCCTCCAGGACTAATTAAGCACAGCTCTGGCCATATAAAAACCAAAGCAGATTTGAAGGAGAGACTGCAGGTTGGACGCGGTGGCTCACACCTGTAATCCCAGCCTTTGGAAGGCTGAGGTGGGCGGATCATCTGAGATCAGGAGTTCGAGACCAGCCTGGCCAACATGGTGAAATCCCGTCTCAACTAAAAATATAAAAATTAGCTGGGCATGGTGGTGTGCACCAGCTACTCGGAAGGCTGAGGCAAGAGAACTGCTGGGAGGTGAAGGTTGCAGTGAGCCGAGATCATCATGCCTCTGCGCTCCAGCCTGGGTGACAGAGTGAGACTCGATCAAAAAAAAAAAAAAAAAAAAAGTGGGGGAGACTGCCTCCTTAATCCCAGACAGCACAATTCAAGTGTGGACAAGGTGAGAGAAGCTTGTGTTCTTCAGAGTCAGTGGGTCATTCACTACATGTAACAGCTTCTCATCTCAGAGACCAAGATTCCCGAGAGAAGCAAACATGATAGGTAATTCTTTCCAAGGTGGTACAAAATATAAGTGATACATCCCTAAAAAGAATACAAGATGAAAAATACTCGAGATTCTCACCAGTTTGAAGCTTTCACTTTCAGGCAATTGTTTAATACCAACTTCGAAGCTGCCATCTTCCTCACTACTAATAGGTTCGGTGCCGCTCTGGTCCTAGGGAACATTAAAAAGAAGATGGCAAAGATGTCATTCTTCACTCACACTCCCCAGAACTGTACAGATGCTCAACCTCATTTGCCCATTGTAGGGCTGTAATGGATGTTGTTTCCTGTGAGGAAGCCTTTTCTGTTTTCTTTCTTTCTAGCAGAAGACTGTTTCCTTGTTGTTCTTCCAGGTATCTATCTCTGCTGCTTACAGAGAGATCTTAGGGAAAGCTGGTCCCTACCCTCTGCTTCAGGTGTAGGCGTGATTGCCTAGGATAGTTTTATTCTTTTCCCAATGATTTTGTCAGGAATGGGCAGGTCAGGAATAGATTTTATCAGTTCTGGCCAAAGAAATATAAGGAGAGATTTGCTGGAGATGTGTGAAAAAGTTCTTCCTTAATCATATGAGAGCCAGAAATCCCTATACCTCCCAAATTAACAAGAGAGCATGAGCCCAAGTTTCCATTGACAGCTGTCCCATGACAAGAAGGGAACCAGCCTTAGGACAAGGCTGACCCTGTGGGTGACAAAGCAAAGGGAGAGATAGAACTGGCTCTCCGATGGCAAAACTAGGTCACTGGATTGAGCAAGCACAGCCTTATCCTTAACCACCTTCTGTGAGAGTTTGTACATTTCCTTTTGCTTCAGTCAGTCTGAGTTAGCCATTCTGTTACTTTCAGCTCAAGCTTTCTCACGGAGTCAGCTGACTGTTTTTTGTACAGGACTAAACTGCTTTGAGATAAGAGATAAGAGACTGGGTTTATCTTGTTGATTTCTTTTATTTATTTATTTAATTAAAAAACAATCTGTCTTTAAAATTTAATAAAACAAATCTTTCTTTTCTTTTTTTTTTTTGAGACACAGTCTCACTCTGTTGCCCAGGCTGCAGTGCAGTGGCACCACCTCCACTCACTGCAACCTCTACCTCCCAGGTTCAAGTGATTCTTGTGCCTCAGACTCCTAAGTAGCTGGGATGACAGGTGCATGCCACCACACTGGCTAATTGTCGTATTTTTAGTAGATGGGGTTTTGCTATGTCGGCCAGGCTGGTCTTGAACTCCTGATCTCAAGTGATCTGCTTGCCTCAGCCTCCCAAAGTGTGTCTTGTTGATTTCTGAAATCGAGTCCTATCACCATGCCTGGCACGTGGAAACCATAAACACTGGTGGAATCAATGAATGCACTGAATATTTGTTTTCTTTTGTGACTTTTTCCTGCAGATTCTTGAAAATATGTATTTACATAAATGAGACACCCGGCAATAATACATACCACTAAAAATCTAAAACACATTAGGCATCTCCTCAACTGAACTGTGACATATTAAATGTCATAGTTAACTAACAAGAAGTTACTTTACTTTCTGGGGGTATATAAGGAAGAATAAGGATGATAAATGGAATATCCATATTGTACTTATCTGAACTTTTAGTTTTAATCACCAGCATCCTGGGATTACTACAAATTTGGTTGAAATAGTTTATAGGGAAAATTGTTTTGATTTTGAGACATTCAACCTCACTCATAATTTGACATAATTTGATACAATTAAAGCAAAGAGAGCATTCTTTTTTTTTTTTTTTTTTTTTAGATGGAGTCTTTCTCTATTGCCCAGGATGGAGTGCAGTGGTATAATTTCGGTTTACTGCAACCTCTGCCTCCTGGGTTCAAGTGATTCTCCTGCCTCAGCCTCCCAGGTAGCTGGGATTACAGGCACACACCACCATGACAGGCTATTTTATTGGTGTTTATTTTTAGCAGAGATGGGGTTTCACCACATTGGCCAGGCTGGTCTTGAACTCCTGACCTCGTGATTTACCCACTTTGGCTTTCCAAAGTATTGGGAATACAGGTGTAAGCCACTGTGCCCAGCCAAGAGAACATTCTTTCAACTATCAAATAGACAACAGAATAGGAAAAGAACATTCAATACTGGGAATGGGAATGTCAGGAAAATAGGAATTTCTATACATCATTGAGAGAATGTAAATTATAATAATCTTTTCAGAAAAAAACATACTCTGTGTGTGTGTGTGTGTGTGTGTTTGTGTGTGTGTATGTGTGTGATTGCTTATTTCTGGGAAGTGAAGCTGGGGAAAGGGTAATTTTTGCATGAATTATTTCTATACTGTTTGATTAGAGGAGAATTACCATATATTATTGCTTGTTTAAACATGAAATAAAGGAAGACTATGAGAAACACCTAAAAGAAGACAAAAAAAAAAAAAAAAAAAAAAAAAACACAAACAAAAAAAACTAAAGAAAGCAGCATGGACTTTACAATTGGGCAAATTTGGGTTCAAATCTCAAATTTGCCACTTAGAATTATATGACTTAGGGCAAGTTGCTTTCAAACCTGAGTACAGGTTAAGTATCCCTTATCCAAAATGCTTGGAAATGTTTTGGACTTCAGATTTTTTCAGATTTTGTTATGTTTGAATTATACTTACCAGCTGAGCATCCCAAAGCTGAAATGAAAATCTGAAATCCAAGTGCTTTCTTTGGAGCATCATGTTGGTGCTCAAAAGTTTCAGATTCTGGAGCATTTCTAACTTCAAATTTGGGATGCTCACTCTGTAACTGTAACTAATTTTTAAAGTGCAGATAAAATACCAGATTAAAAATACTAACCTATAAGGTTGCTTTAAAGATTAATGAGTTAACATGTAAAATATCTATGTGCATAACACCAGGTACAGTTAACTTTTGTTTCTAGCTTTTAAATATCATTTTAAAATATCATTTCTTTTTTTTTTTTTTTTTTTTTTTTTTGAGACAGAGTCTTGCTCTGTCTCCAGGCTGAAGTGCCGTGGCATAATCTTGGCTCACCGTAACCTCCACCTCCTGGCTTCAAGCAGTTCTCCCGCCTCAGCCTCCCAAGTAGCTGGGATTACAGGTGTCTGCCGCCACACTCAGCTAATTTTTGTATTTTTAGTAGAGATGGGGTTTCACCATGTTGGGCTAGACTGGTCTCTTGAACTCCTGACCTCAAGTGATCCACCTGCCTCTGCTTCCCAAAGTGCTGGGATTACGGGCATGAGCCACCAAGCCTGGCCTTTTCTTTCTTTCTCTTTCCATGTGAATTTGACAGAACTGTTTCTAGCTTTCTGTTGAAGCAGATTCCTTATTTTTGCACTGTCTCATACAGTCTTCGTAATAACCTGCTACAGGAATGTACCACCATGATCCCAATTCGTAAATGAGGGTAATGATACATTTTAAATAACTTGCTAAACAACTCCAGGTAGTAAGAGGTAGATCCAAGATTCAAAGCTGGGAAAGGGCCATGGTAGGCCCTCAATAAATGACGCTCTCATTTCTCTCTCCTTCTTCCTTTTCAGTATTGAGTGTTGATAGCTAAGCTTACAGAAGACTCACAATCTTTCAAAAAATTATTGTTAATAGACCATGGATATTTTAAAACATGTCTTAGTATTTTTTTTAACCAGAAAATTGTATTAGATAGAATATCCTCTTCTCAGTGAATTTTGGATAATCAAGGAGTTATCATATAAAATAAACATACCCAAGTTAATAAATACTGAAAACGTACAGATTTTTAGCATTTTTGACAGTGGTAATGTCAGTTTTAGAAATTCTAAACAAATGAATTATCCTTTAAAAATCAGTATTTAAGCTGGGCACGGTGGCTCATGCCTGTAATCCAAGCACTTTGGGAGGCTGAGGTGGGCAGATCATGAGGTGAGGAGTTTGAGATCTGCCTGACTAACATGGTGAAACCCCACCTCTACTAAAATTACAAAAAAATCAGCTGGGCATGGTGGCATGTGCCTGTAATCCGAGCTATTCGGGAGGCTGAGACAGGAGAATCACTTGAACCCGGAAGGCAGAGGTTGCAGTGAGCTGAGATCAAGCCACTGCACTCCAGCCTGTGCACCAGGGTAAGACTTTGTCTCAAAAAAAAAAAAAAAAAAAAAAAAAAATCAGCATTTAATCTATGGAAAAGTTGTAATATCCAAATTCCTTAGTGTGTCTAGTTCTGCAAGCTGTGGGAACCCCTGAAGAAGGCCTGGCGAGGTTATGGTGGCCAAGTGGAGCTTTGAAATAGTCTGTGTTGATAATTGCAGCACATTAGACTGTAGAACAAACCCACAGGTTCCTCTAGTAACCCTGCAAATGGCCACCACCTGTGGTTCCAGATGAGAAGAGATTTTTCACAAGAAGATGCGTCAGCTGAAACTATTCATCTAATTACACACGTCTCCTTAGGGAAAGGAAAGTGCTCCTTAAATAAATTAGAGGAATCTTTACTTTTACGTTTTTCAGCAATATGCATATTGAAGATGAGATATTCTTGGTCTTTGTAAAATGAATACTAAAGTAGAGGAGAAAACAGCTGTTTAAGGGATGTGTCAACTTGTAAAATTTAAGAAAACATGGGCAAAGCAGTCTAGGTCCCAAATGGTCTATGCATCCATTAAGATGTGAACAGAAACAAAAAATAACCCTGGCTACGGTGGCTCATGCCTGTAATCCCAGCACTTTGGGAGGCTGAGGCGGGCAGATCATAAGATCAGGAGTTCGAGATCAGCCTGGCCAACAGGTGGAAATCCCATCTCTACTGAAAATACAAAAATTAGCCGGGCGTGGTGATGCATGCTTGTAGTTCCAGCTACTTGGGAGGCTCAGGCAGGAGAACTGTTTGAACGCAGGAAGCAGAGGTTGCAGTGAGCAGAGATCATGCCATTGCAGCCCAGCCTGGGCAACAGAGTAAGACTCTGTCTCGGAAAAAAAGAAAAACAAAAACAGAAACAAAAAACAACCCTCTATGTCTACACCACATCCCATACTTAGAAACTATAGGGTCAAATGAAGCAGAATGTATCTTTCAAAGCCAGGCCTCAAATGCCACTGGTTCCATTTATCTTTTCCTTCTTAGCTGGGGGACGTCACTCCTTCCTCTAAATTCTAACATTCTACCTGAACCTCCTCTGTCACTTTACATCCTATCTTTTGTGTCCAAATTATGTATGTACAGAACTGATCTCC